CGCACTCGCACTCACTGGCGATGCATCGGTGTGTGTGCTTTTGATGGAGGTTGTGTGACGTTCTATGAGCGTCGCCACTATCTCTGAGTGCCCGTTGCCACATGCGTGTCCTGTGCGCGTTTGTATAGTTGATTGAATCATGCTATGTAATTTTATACAGATTTTGTTCGGGTTCACCACAATGATTGGTAATAGACAGGTATGGGAGACTTTGATGGATGCTGTGTGGCGTTTTATAAGTGTCTCCACAACCTCTGAGTGCGCGTTGCCACATGCATGTTGTGTGTACTTACCCAACAGAGCAATACTATAGTCTGAGCTATAGAGCACACATGAACGAATAGCGGTACGATGAACACAATTTGCAATCCTTCAACGATTTATCTCCAGACAGGCAATTCATACCTCAAGATCACGAACAAACACGTGATGTACGCACTAGCCAATGATAGCAGCACGTCGACAGAGATCAGATACCTACAAGCAAGTAAGCCAACCACCAGCAACTATTTCAGGTGCACAACGATTAGAATAACGCAAGAAGTAACGCCATCCCAATCCACCAGCATACGCATGATTAGGGGACTGGACCTGTATAGTAAATGTAATACATACGTAAAGCGTACGCATACTGATCGTTGGGATCGGCACCGACATCAAGAAAGTGGCTTACGATGTCCTTGTGCCCATATCTGTAAATTGATAAATAATGAGGTATTTCACGTCAATGATTATATGTAGAGTATACATTTGAGTGAGTGTATGGATACTGAAATAAAACGAAAAAGTAGACGTTTTCAAGTTCAAGAAAATACATAGTCAAATAAGTTCACATACATATATTTAGTGTGCGTGTAAAAATTTCTATATACGTGGGTATTATTTCACTCTTAAATTTGTCAGATCATGGTCTTGTATGCAATTAGACCATTGCTTCTCACAAACAAGCTTCCCATTTAGGGTTGTCTATGTTCTCCCCTATCACTAACAACCGGTAGCAGAAATATATTTGTATTGATTTATATATGCACAACTCATGCATGTATACCACATGTTAATATATAAAATAGCATTTGTACGTGTAAACGATTGTTACATTTATATTAAAGTTTACCAAATTTGTTGAAATCATTATTCACTTAAGTGTAATATTCGTCAACATCACTTAAAAGAAGAATAAAAAACGTCTCCTTCGTCTACATTTATACACACACACACACATACACACACACACACACACACATACATACACACACACACACACACACACAC